GAGTAAAATGGACCTAAGGATACCATAGAGTAAATGGAAGGGATACTCACATCACCAACAGCCAAATACTTTCCATCAGGGGAGAAAGCCAGAGCGCTCACAGTTCCTTTGTTACCTTCCAAAACCCCAACTTCTTTCAATGTCTTACCATCCCACTCGTTCAAACGAACTTTCTGATCCTATATTACATCAGAACGAAAATAAAATAAAATAGCATCAATTTAAATTATGAAAGAATAAGAAAGCAACGTTCATACCTCTCCTCCAACAGCTACAATATTCGAAGTCGGAGCAGCAGCGACGCTGGTGGGGTTGAACTTCAATTTTGACTCAAACAACTTTTGGTTTGATTTGATAGCCTCGATTGAACCATTTGCTTCAGTCAAGAAAACTGTATCATCAGATGAGACCGCAATTGAGTTTGGTTGGGAAGAGGTTGGGCAGGATGCTTGGCTGTGTGTAATGGATTAGACTCCAAATTCAGCGCGAACAGAAAAAAGACCTACACGAAACTCTTTCCATTCAAATCGATTTCTTTAACCTTATCATCGTAAGCAGTCGAATAAACCTTGCCACTACTAGTAGCGTTGGATTTGAGTCCAACAATGAACGTCGCATGACCTGTTCCTTTAACCTCGTCGTATCCGTCTTCCGGAGAGTTGAATGAGAGGATCCTTCCATCTGAAGAACCGGTAAGGAATGTGGAAGGGCCAGTTGGCAGGGCAGATGTGATGGCTTTCGACGGTGCCTATTTTGTCGATGTACCCCAATCGAATGGATTTGCAATCAGTCTATGAACTGGAACGGAAGCATTATATGAACACACGTGTAATATCCTAGAAGGTTTATCTCCAACCCTCTTGTCGAAAATGTTAAGATCGCCATTCATAGCGATTGAAACGATATCATCTCCTCCAGTCCATGTATTACCAACTTGTTGACTATCAAGGCCAGACGTTCCTAGAGTGTATGTGGTGATATTCTTCTTTGTCTCCACGTCCCCTGAATGCAAGAAAGAGAATGATTGTGAATAAGCTATTCAGTTTCGACGATATACACTTACACAACTTGACAGTCCTATCTGCGGAAGACGTAACCAGGGATTTGCTATCGGGACTCCAGCTAACACCATACTATAGAGCGTGGTAACCATTAATGAAACATATGCGAGACTAAAAGGGAAAAAAGATACATACAACAGTCCCGGTATGAGGGTTATCGGTAAACTCTCCAATCGTATCACCATTCTTTCCATCGTAAAGGAATACCTTTGCATCGGATCCTACACTGGCAAAATGATCTCCAGAAAGGGCGTAACGGACATCTTGAACAAATTTGGTGTGGGTTTTGATGCTCTGTGTATACTGTTAAAAGACAACTGAAATCGTTTGAGTAATCGGTAAACTCTCACCTTGTCAAACTTGAAAGGGACACCTAGACGGAAACCAGTCAGTAACTTTGATACGTATTCTCTGAGAGAACATCACCTTGATGGAAAATGATAGTAGAGTCATCCGAAGCAGTAGCAGCACGGAAAGGTCTTTGATGACGAATGGAAACGGCATTGATGACCTGTTGAACATCGCAGTATGTGGATTATTCGCACAGTATAGCGGCGCCTCGAACGTCCTACCTTTGAGTGTCCCATAATCTCACCGGTAGAAGATCCAGTCTCCATCATGAACGCATGTCCAAACCTGCCATGAAAGAACATAAACAGAATATATTCGGTGGAAACGAAGGAAACCGTACTTCTCTCGGCCATCACCAACAGCGATGATACGTTTGCTTTCTCCATCCCATTCGAGATCGTTCCTACATCCAAAATGAATGAAAACGCAGAGACAATTCATGTCAGACTTTAACTTACACCTTTCCAGAAAGGACTTTATATTCGGCCTTGAGAACTTGATCCTCACCGACAATGTCCCAAACTCGTACTGAACCCCCAAAAAAGACAGGAAAATAGTTAAATATTGACATTCTCATCGAAAAAACTAGTTTCGTACCGTTTCCAACAGCATCGGCCGAAGCGCAGTAATATCCAGTGGGAGAGATTCTAGCCACTGTAGCATCACGGACGTGTCCTGCATTTGCGATAACGCTCGTTGGGTTCTAAGATTTATTGTGTCGGCTCAAGATGTCAGTAGATAAAGTGAAAATACGCATACCTTCAAATCTCTAATCTATCGCATAGAATCAACGTATAGTCAGTATTTCTTTACATCTGGAAATTCGACATACAATGACGGTCCTTCCGTTGGTATAAACAATCTTGTCCTTGCTGGAGCTAAGCTTCGTAGATTGACCACGAGTTGTAGCAGGATTGCATGGGTATAAAGCTACACTCTTGAAAGGCATCTTCGCTTGTGGGACTAAGCAGTTTGTGTTCCTCAAAGGTTGTGGGTCTATTCTACAAGTTATTCAACACTGAGCTATCAGTTTTGTTACAGATAAATATTAATATTACACTTACTGAAGTTTGAAGATAGAGCTGTTGTGTGAATTGGAAAGAGATTACAGCATGTCTCGACAACGGTTGCGATCAGATAATAACTAGGTGGATCATTAATACCACGTGATCGCGCTCTTCCCGCGACCTTTTCCAAGTTCAAGTTTCAAGAAAGCATGATATCATTTGTGGTACGCATAAATCCAGTAGCAAGACATGACAGGAATATTGAAGTATCCAAGAATTAAAAAACAAGAAAAACCGACCAATCAACCTGCCAACAACATCCACTACGTGAAAACCAAGCGACCGACGGGCATATCAGACACGCAGCTCAATACCCCAATACACTCCTCCTCTCTTCCTCTCTATAGTTCTTCAAGGGATCTTTCCTAAGTGCTTCAGCCTCTACAGAAATTATTCCTCCCCCTTCTCTTCCACTGCCTACTCCTGCTCCGATGATTCCAAGCCCAAGGCCACTGAGTCCACTTCCTGAAGCGGTTCTCCCTTTCTCTCTCATGACTGTTGAAGGAATGCTTGGAGTTCGACTCGGGGATATAGTAGTCTGTTCAACGAGAAAGATGCATTAATGAGGAGAGAATGTAAGGATGATGGAATAAAAGTACCTCTTCATCTCGATAGGGTGTAAATTTCGGAGTAGACGGAACAGGAGGAAGGGATGATGAAGCCGCATGGCCATCCCCTGCTGCTTCAGTATCACCATCTCGGAAGACAGCAATCGACCCTGGACCTGGTGATTTCTTAGACTTTCCACTACCTTCATCTTTGAAAATCGCGATCTTCGATGAGGAAGATGAAGCCGACGGAGCATGTTTGGATTTGGATTTTGAACTACTCGGAGTGGGGGCTATTGAATCAGCCTCGTCATCTCTGAATATCATGAGACCACTCTTGGATGACGACGACGCATGTTTCTTCTTGCTCCCTGCAGCAGACATCGAGGGACCAGAGGTAGGCGCAGGCTCATCGACGAATACCGAAATGGAACCTTTGGACGACCTCGTCTTAGACCGAGTAGTCCGAGGTGCAGGAGGAGTTGGCTCTTCTTCATCTCTGAATATCATCATAGAACTCTTAGAGGCGGAGGAAACTGATCTTGTTTTCGTCATAGGGCGTTGAGATGGAGGTAAAGGAGGTGGAGGCATGCTGCTCTTCTCATCTTCATCCTCAGCCGCTTGTTCTTGATCTTCTTCTTGTTCTCCTTCGGGTTCAGGATCTCTATAAATCATCATCTTAGTTCCCCCATTTCCACTACCAGAAGCGATCCTTCTACTTCTTCCAGGCTGCCGTAAAGTGGTCCCAACAGCTTTAGAAACTTCTCTGACGTTTTCCTTAATTCTTGATTTCCGAGTTCCAAGTTCAGGCCATGGAGATGTATTATCAGTATCTGGATCTGCTGCTTCTCCACCTGATGGGTCTTGGAATATTTGAAGTCGAGCATTTGGACGAGGTGGTGGGGTGTTGCCGAAGAGATCTTGAGACGGAGTTGTTCGGTGAGATGAAGAAGTAGAAGAAGATGTAGTACCCAGGATAGGTCGACGAGGATTCGTGGGCGGAGCAACAGTAGAATTAGCATCGGAGGACGATGATGAGGAGATAGAAGACATCATTCGCTTTTGGAATTCACGATGTTTGTTCTCGAGTCTTTCAATAGGAGTGGCTTTGCGATTTATGCCCAGCAGATAGGTTTCGTCTGCCTCTACTTTCCTATATGAGAATATGATTGCTGTCAGTGAACAGAGAAGGCAGACCGTAAAACTAAACTCACCTTCCAGCTTTTTCCAATGCCAAAGCGAACTCTTCGTATAACAGCGAATGAGAGGTTCCAATCTCGTTGACAAGACAGAATTTGAAGATTATAGCAGGTTTCTCAACAAAACTCGCATAAAGAACCCATAGTTTGAGATATCTCAAATCATTTTTCCATTTACCGCCTCTATCGTCTCTGAGTACTCTTGTAGCTTCTTCCAGCAACTCCAATAACCCGGATTCGGCGCTATGACCTTGAGGATAATTCTCTAAAGTCCAGTTGATGAAACGAGTGTAAGCTTCAAGTGGATCAGCGTCTTCATCTTCATCATCTTCTAACGCCAACTCTACGTTGATTCTGTGTTTCTGTCTGGCAGATGAGAGACGAGATTCTCTCTGTGCGTGCGGCGTGGCTAAGATCGCAGAGAGAGCTGTTGCTCTGCGACCTTTCGCAAGTGGCTGGATGTTCTCTTTGGCCGCTTCGAGAACATCACAGTCGATGATTTCTGGAGCGGATTCTGCGTTGAAGATATCGTCTTCAGTGTTGGGTAGTGTCGAAGAAGGAGATGAAGACATTGTTGGGGTTAAGTCGGTCGTGTTCGTAATCGTTTATATGATCGTCGTGGTCGTGGAGAGAATGTAACAAAAGGATGCTTTGAGTTGTTTGGAACAAACTTGAAATGCTCGTTTCAATTTCAACGCTCACATGATCGCGTTTTATTGCCTCTTGCCATAAAGCAAATTCGCTTATGTGTATTCGTAAGAATTTCATGGTAACGCCCGCCTAGCTCAATCGGATAGAGCGTCAGACTCTTAACTAGGCAGGGCATCTGAAGGCTGCGAGTTCGACCCTCGCGGTGGGCTAGTTTTTATGGAGTGCTTGTTTCTGACGTCATGTCATTCTCGCCGTTCAGTTGTCGTGATCATGATAATCTAACGGTCGGGTTGTACTATAACTTGAACTTCAAGCACGATGAGCTCACCGCCGGTAACGTTGACTAGCCACTTGGTCTCGTTGTCAACAGTTCGGCCATACACCGCAGCGACCCAACACGATTTCTTGACTCGGGCCGGCAAAGGTACTCTTTCTAGCGATCTCCTCTCGCTTTATCTCTCGCAAGACAGGATCTACGCGGCACACGGCTACACTCGCTTCTTGGGTCACATCTTGTCCTCGCTTCCCTTCTCATCGTTGCATTCTCTCTCTTCACCTCAAGAGAAATTCAATTGGACCATCGTCAAAGTTTTAAGTGGTGCACTCGAAAATGTTGTGCGCGAGGTTGGATTTTTTGGAGATGTGGCTGATAAGTTTGGTCTGAAGTTGGAGGGGTGGAGAGAAAGGAAAGCTACAAGGGATTATACTGCTGAGATGGCTAGAGTGGTTGCCAATGGCACATGGAAAGATGGGCTTATCTTTCTGTGGGCTATGGAGAAAGTAAGCATTCAATTCAATTCATGCAGGCCGGTACCATCAACGTGAAGCTCAGACCATTAATATCCTATTTGTAGGTCTACCTCGATGCATGGAAATACGTTGAATCTGTAACATCACCCGAAAGCGATACAGGTCCAACTTCCGAAGCCATAGCATGGTTGGTCTCAAACTGGACAAACGCAGAATTTGTCGATTTTGTGGACAATCTTGGCAATATCGTCAATAAGTCAGTACACCTTTCTTCTCTCAAAGACTGAAAATGAATTAAAGTTCCTCTACTTATCGACTTCAGTCTCGGCATACAACCAGGTTCTGAGGAATGGACCCGAGCTGAACAGATTTGGTCAAGAGTTGTCGAACTCGAGGAACAATTTTGGCCGTCTGGTGAAGATGAAATATCTGTCTTGCGACTTCAGGTTTAGATACTCTCCTTGCGAAGTGTCTAAAACAAACTCCACCAGAAAGAAAAATGCAATGCAAACGAATGTAATTTTATCGTCGTATGTCTCAGCTGCTGGTAAGTACTAGCAGAGGCTATTTGCTTGAAGTTAACTTCTTTGGCTAGTGTCTCTTCCGTCGTGCGACTCATCGGTCGAGGTAGATTTCCCAATGATTATGTATTTTGGAATATATATGACTATGCTCTTGTGCATGCGTTACCACAGCAAACTCCTAGGTATTCGACGCTAGAAGTAAAACGCGATCAGGTGAAGGATATCTTCAGTTATTTGGCTTTCGGCATATAGGACTTGACTCAGAACAGTCCTGAAAATAGGGGCGGCTTTCTAATCCGCTCAAGTCTAAGTCTCTGGGCCCATGTAGAACTCTTACCGACCAATCTTCATTACTGCGGCATTCAGAACCCTCGTTACTTGGATTCGCTCCATCATGTGCGCATTCAAAGCAACTCCATGTCCATCTTGGACTTCTCTTGAACTCGATGTCAACCGAATCTCAATAATTGACCAGGACTATTTTTCGTTTTTCGGCCACGAGACTCACGATTCGAACGCTATTGACTCCTCGGTGGAAGAAGAACTCATATTCGAGACGAACCAGAAGTTAGTCCATGACCTAGAGACAATCCTGGAGGAAGATCCAATCCAAGTCTCAAGTCTACCGTTACCCAACCCTGCATCTTCACTCGCATCGACTCAAACCCTCGAGATCCTTACTGCTGAAAACCTAACTCAGGCAAAATCGGCTGAAGCCATTCGGTTTCTTTTTGATTTAGAGCATGCTATGATGTCTAAAGCTAACGCGACGAGGTTAGAGTCATCACCATGATTATCTCCTGCTGCGCACTAAATTGTATTCATGCATTTTCCTTTATGGAAGTTCTTCAACAGTTGATTTTGCATCTTCATTGTTAAAAGTAATGGGGTTTTCAGGTGAGTTCGTTTTTTATAATTCGAAGAGATGCTAAACTGTAGATTGTGAATGACTTAGGTCCTGGTAGCCTTGCCCGTAATGGCAATAGTTGCGATTTCGGTGATGATGGCATAAACCCAGTAAATAGCACCAGTGAGGATACGCGCCAGAATCAGATCCGGCAACCTTCTACCGTCATCGGCAGTCCCAATCGTAACCAGGTGTTATTGAAGAAAGGGCAGAGGTTATGTTTGAATATGCATGGTGAAAGGATGGATTCTTCTCCCGATCTGGTCCTCGTCAAACAACACCGCAGTGCTCATTCAAAGCCACGACCCAACCAACCAACTAAAAAGAAGTCACACGAAAAAAATCCCAAAGACTCCCCACGTTCATCAGCTGAAACCGAAGAATTGTCGATTTTGGAACAAATCATTCTCATCGTCCAACAAGATCGTATTGGTGGCAAGGGAGGACCTACCACTCCACGCCATCGTAGTCGAGTCCCTCATTTCTTGACCGAAACTCCTAACACACCTAGGGTTGAATTCGAGCCGACTTATCCTACTGGGTCGGGTCAAGTGTCACCTACTACAGGTCTATTAGGTTCGATACCATCATCTTCATTCGATTCCGATCCAGACACAACAGCAGCTCAGGTCATCGCTTTTGCAATCGCGGCTCATGAGCACAATTATCGTGCTCTAGGAGGAAACTTGCAATTCCAGCCCAGAAACTTATTGACGATCCACCATCGTCTACCTTCACTCATCCCTCAGGCAAGGACCCTTCTTCCATCTGCGTTTCTTCCCAATCCCATCCTTGGCAACTCATACTTGGGCGATAAACAAGATACATCCACGACAAACATAACGATACCTGCGATAACTATTCATGGAACAACACCTACATTCTTCAAGATTCCTATTTCGAAGGAATTGGTTCAGTCTATCAAGCACGATAGACGTCCTCGACTAGAAACGGTTGTTTATAGACATGTTCCAAAGTTAAGGGATCCAGATCAGGGTATGGTTCCTTTAGACCAGAGGAGGGTTTTACTTTCATATATGGAGGCATTCAAAGAGTTGGTATTCGGTGATATCACCCACGAGGGAAGCACCGGTACTCATGATGATGGCTTGGATCAAACTCCGGAGACCTCGAGCACCACTACTACTAGCGCAACACCTCTTCGTAGACGGGAGTTAGACAATGGTGAATGTGAGTATCATGAGTCTCTACTATTTCTCGAGAAACCATTTACAAATTTACTCGTCGTCATGCAGTGGTACAAGCACTCAGCCGCACTCATGATCTCAATGATATTAACGACTCGGAGGTAGTTGGATTGCAAGGAAAAAGGCAAAGACCAAGTCTCAAACGAATTTATCAGACAATGTCTAAGATCGAGACCTTGTTGTCGCGTGGAAAATCGCCTTCAAGTGAATCGTAGCCAGCACACCGAAGCTTTCTGTGGACACTAGATCCCGGTTTCACACTCGAGCGGTTTTGGTTTATGATATAATCAGCTCAGAGATGAAGGATTGGTTTCTTTACAAGGTGACAAAATGTAATCGTGTATATTAGTTAATAGACAGAAAGCCGTGCGTATGAGCTATGACTACGGTCTACGGTATTGCAGCAGCTGAAGGGTTACATGCTTACAGTATATCTGCCGCGGTCGTTGGCCCATAGCCGCGATTCAAGTTCTATTATCTGCTGTGAACTTATAAGCTTCATAAGGACTTTTACAGAGTCTTCTTTAATTGACTGTTTGTAAAACTAAATTGGAAACAAGCTAAAAACATCATCATCGGTTCGAGAGAGACAAAAGAACTCAATCAAAAACGCTGGCAGGATCATCATCAACATCATCAAAGGTCGTAAACAGGCGGGGAGCAACCAAGAACAAGTGCAAAAAGAGGAAAAAGAAAAGAAAAACACGACGTAGGCGTAGGTTCATTAAAAGAATAATCCGTGACGGAAGGGAGTGCGAGAAGAATGTAGCAACATGCCGAGACGGACGAGAGAGAGAGAACACGCCGTGGTGTTGGGAGTAGGTGATAGTTGGGATAGAGGAAAAATGTAGTGAATGATAGGAAGTATACTTGATTATCAATAGTAGCAGACAAATTGGTGACCAGGAAGAAAAAGCCCTGTATGAGTGAATGATTGATTGAAGGAGAAGGGAAGAAATGCAAAGCGTCGAGAAAACGCAAACAACAAATGCAATTGTGAGAGAGATGGGTTAAAGAACAAGAAAAATGAAAGATTTTTAAGCCAGGTTGTCGTGTGTAAATTGTACTATAGAAGTGTGGGTCCAATCCTCCAGAAGATTGATTGAAGACAGGGTAACGTAGCTTGGGAAGCTTGATACGGAACTTGAACGAGTTGTATGGGAAGGATTGGGGAAAGAGTACACTGAAATTGATGACCTGTTTACTTGCTGTTGTTGGCGGCTTGAACTAGGAGCGCCTTTTCTTTGAGAACGCTTGGATAGCTGTTCATCAAATGTGCTAAGGGTCGTAGGTCATCTTGGTCAAGGAGAGTGATGGTAATTTTGGGCTGTAGGTGTTTGCATCAGTAATTGAGACACGGAAACGAAATAGAATCGATAACTCACAGCTCCCTTGATACCGAAAGCTTTCACAACACGCCACAGTTTGTCGCCAAGTTGTTGCTTCTGCTGTTGAATTGGCTTGTCTTTCAAGCTATCAATAAACTCATCGGTAGCTTTGACCACCAAAGGATCGGGTTTCGGTAAAGGTAATCCGGTCAAAGATGACGAGTTGGCCAACTTGATGATTTCAGAAGCTGGCAAACGGGCAAGAGAAGCAATTGTATGTACAGTCGTCGTTGGACCGCTTGGTGTTGCAGGAGTAGGTGAAGCGGTAGCAGAAGGACCGCGGGATGATAAATCTGGAGTCTTCGGTGAAGAATCGTAGGAAGTTGAAATTTTCTTTGCTTGTGGAGTCACAGGTGTAGGAGGGACAACAGTCCTCGGTTGAGCTTCTTCTTCATCATCTTCGAGCTCAAGGACCATCTTAGCGTCTGCAAT